AGTAACAGCTGCTATGACAGAATTAGTAAGGAGAGGAGAGGCTTGGGTTTATGGTGACCCGCGCTAACTAGAAGAAATTAAAACTTTAAAAAGCTAGAAAAAAAGAAAAAAAAGATTTAATTAACTAGAAAGAGGCTTGAGAAGAAGAAGAAACAAAACAAATACAGCTGCTGGAGAGAGCCGCCCCAGGCTGTGAGGCTCGCCCGCGGCGAGAGCGAGCGCCTTGGGAGCGCGTGCAAGTGTAGAGAAAAAAGACTAAGTTCCAGGTTTCAAGAAAACTATTATGAAAAAAAATATAAACTGCAAAGAATTAAGGAGAATATTTATGCACTTTTATTATAAAAAAATAAAAGTGCACAGAGAGGGCTTTAACTGCAGCCGCACGAAACACAGCACCGGAGGTGCCAGCGGTGCGGTGACCGCGCAGGGGGGGAGGATATGCTCTTCAGGGGTCAATTCTCTGTTGTTTTCTGCTTATTTCTCTATTTAAATAGCTTAAAAAAGAGCTGAAAATGTATATTTATTTACTTTGAATCCACGAGCATGGACTAAAACAACGGTAGAGACGCCACAGCCCCCGCGGCACAAGCCACAGACCAGCCCGGCGGGTGACCTTAACTGAGGTCACTCTGTTCGGTTTCAACGGGGGCCTAATCAAAGCAACATGAAAAAAATATTAAATCGTCCTTCGAATATATTTTTAAATTATATTTAAATAAAAACTTGTATTTAGACAGGTTAGGACGTGAGGCTGCAGCTCTCTCATCCCCCCATAGCACGTGTATGGATGCCGTGGTCCCCAGCGACGACGCCCGCCTGCTGCAATAGGCCTCTCACCCCTCGTTTGCATATTTGTTTATTTGTTTGTTGTATGTGAATTTNCCCGCCTGCTGCAATAGGCCTCTCACCCCTCGTTTGCATATTTGTTTATTTGTTTGTTGTATGTGAATTTCTTTGTAGTTAATAAACACTGGAGTTAGTACTATATTGACACAAACGGAGCCGGGCGACCTCAGCTCACTGCATAAAACTACTTAATAGAGAGAAACTTCTGCTCAGCAGCATAGCGGGCTGGGCCTCTGGCGCTGCCCCGCTGCTGCACACCCTCAGAAAAGAAATCAAAGAAGTAATTAAAGATTCATTTGTAGTTTCCCTCGAATATAATATAAAACATGCTGTACAACTACCAGCAGCTAAACTAACGCAGTAGCCCGCTACGTCTTAGCTTTCTTCGCCTATAGAGATCACTCTGCGAGCCGCCTATGGTGCAAGTAGCCCACGAGCTGTACATACACCGCATGCTGATTGTTTATGAAACAGCGCTGTTTCTATGCAACTAAAAATTTGGTACTGGTGGAATACAGACCCGCGGGGAAAATATAATGATTACAATAGAAGCGGGCAGACAATAGAACTGACTCACAGAGGCGCTTCTATCTTTTTGCAGCCTCTGCATAGAGCAGCTGAGGTAGAGTATAAACAACAAATCCACACAGACTCAGGAGACAGAGGGGTACAAACAACAAAGGGAATTGCATGCACTCGAACTCGTCTCCTACACCCCACCGTCACATGTTGTCGTCTTAGGCTTGTACCCGTCAACAGGCTGCATCGTTGCAGCTATCATGCATGCATGCATGCACACATGCATGAACATATGCATAACGCTGCATGCATGCATGCATGCATGCATGCATAGATATATGCATGCCGCTATGCATGCAAGCATATATACATATATGTTGTCGCAGCCTCGGCAGCGGAAGGTAAAGAACTGAAGGCTGAG